GGTACCAAACAAGGGCTAAATATACAAATCCTCCACTCATAATCATCTTTAACGTGACTTCTATACATTCAAAAGGAAAGAGAAAAAATGGCATGAAGTGAAAGTGAGAACAAGTGAGGCAGAAACTAATAAAGACGAGAAATTAAACTAGTTATAGAAAAATCAATAATGGGAAGACCAGGGCAAAGTACTGGTAGTCTGGTACAATAAACATTCATAAGCCTAGAGAGACAGAATTGAGTGGATAGACAACAACCCAATTGTCCCGTATATCGTAATAGCAGCTGCTTGACATATCAAAAGAAACCCCAGGATGTGAGCATATCCAAGCACCAGGTTAATGATGAAACCTCGAAAGGAAAATGATGGGCAATGATACATCTTTTGGTCCTTTGTTCCACCAAAATATAATGTTTTGATGCAACCTTAAGCCGAAAACCTTTTCACTCTAACTTCAGGCAACTAAAACATCCAAATGCTGAAGTGTAAGTATAATCATTTTCCTTCCATTTTAAGTAACAGGGAGCTCATACACAAAATTTGTATCAAGGTTAGTTTGTCTGCCTTTTACTTCCAGTCACATTGATTAGGATATAAGGTAGGCACGTGAATAATATTAGACATTGAATAAACAATTTATATTACATTGGATATTGTTTTAACATAAAAAAGGGCAAAAATGCTAAACATTCAATATATTGAAATTTGGAGGCTTGAATTTTGATGGGGGAAAAAAATCTTAGAAGAAATATTCGGTTTTTGAGGTAAAATATTTGCATTGAGTGTAATTAACAGTAACCTAAATGTTGCAATACGTATATAAAACAAAGACTAAACCAGTGGTTACAGAATTTAAAACTAACCGACAAGTAATGAATTAAATGGAAACTAGTTTGTTAACAGACATCTTACATTTCCTTTATCAAAATCTCCTCCTTGAATCATAAAATCCTTAATAACACGGTGGAATGCGGATCCTTTGTAGCCAAATCCCTTCTCTCCTGTTCCATTGCATATTTGTGACAAGATATATTCAAAATAACAACAAAATAAGTGAAAATATATGCACCTGTACTAATGCTCACAACCATAAATTTATTAAGGTTCATAAAATAAAACTAGAAAACCTGTGCACAGAGCACGGAAATTCTCTGCAGTCTGCGGCACATCATCACCATATAATCCAATAACAATTCTCCCAGCAAGCTTTCCTACAGGTTCTCCAACACTTATATCAAAATAAACTTTGTGAGTCACTTTGGATTGTAATGCACCTTCCTGTAACAACAGAATGAATATTCCAAATGCTATAAGGCGTGTCTTGAATAGTAGAAAGAGATAAAGGAAATGAAAAGTGGAAACGTTTTCCACTTTATTATGGCGGAAAAATAAATCAATTATCAATCCCACCCACCCATCATTTAAATCCACAAGCATAAAAATCTTGTTCTCTCCTGTTGTCCACCATGCTAACAAAGAGAAGTTAGTTTTCCTTCCTCAAAATGAAAAAAACCATCTTGCATTAAAATTCCAAAAGTCTATTAAAATTCCAGTACAATTGCTATAATATGCAATTCCAAATTTCTCATCTCGCAATAATTCAAGTTCCTAGAATTAGCTCCAGGTAGAATCTAAACTAATCTACCGTTAGAATTCATTTGGAAAGTTATAGTTTAAAATATCATCCACTAACTTATCATCACAATAAGGTTTATTGACATATTTGTTTCCCCATCAAAATGTAATTTACATAAAAGATATCTTTCTAAGGGAACAATGCATAAATTTCAAACTCGGAGGAGAGTTGTTGAGATATCTTCAAATTCTAAGCGGTAAAAATAAGTCAGTAAGCAAAAACAAACCTCTGCCATGGCTCTAACCGGGGTAAACAGAGCGCAACTATTTCTCACAAGAGTGGGGCTTGAAAACGAAGATGAGAGGCGCAACGGACAGGAGATAACGCTCGAGGAAGATAACGCACATTTCCCAGGCCTGGCAGAAGAGAGAGCACGAATGGAGCATGGTGACGTTTTGGTTTGGGGAACAGAAACTGAGCTAATATTCAACTGAAAGTATAAAAAATACAAGGTCAACTGTGGAAATTCGATGAAAAGTAAAGAGCAGAATTAGGGTTTGTACACTAAACTTACCAGAGACGCATATGAAACCGCCATTTTAGGTTCTTGTGAAAGAGAAAATGGAGTTTCTAGGGTTAACAGAACACAGCACACAGTGGTGGAGAACAACTGAACAAGGCAACAGGGAAGGGACGGAGATCGCGAGACTAGTAAATGACTGAAATGGTGTTGAATATTCACAAAATGGCAAATGAGTCCGCTTAATAAAAGTTTCATGAAGAGGATTAAAAATTGTTATTAGAGAAGAAATGAGGTAATTAATTAAAGGTTAAAAATAACAATATGACAAAAAAAAAAAAATTGTAATAAAATAAATACAAAACATGATGATATTTATAGTAATTAAAATGCGGGGCACATTAAACTGTGATATGATTATAATTATTCTTACATTAAACTGTGATATGATTATAACTATTCTGAAAAAGGGACAAAATTAGAGCAACTAGCTGATGTTAAAGTTTATAATTATCCTTACATTAAACTGTGATATGATTATAACTATTCTTATAAAAAAAAAAAAAAAAAAAAAAAAAAAAAACTAGAGCAACTAGCTGATGTTAAGCATTTCAAACAGCTAAGACTGGTATTTACCCTTATGGTATTTTACTAAGGGTCCGTTTGATTGCAAATATGAAATTTAGGTAGAAAGAAAACGAATCATAGGGAATTGAATTGTCTAGAAATTATTTTACTGGGAATTGTCAATTATTGTATTTGATTAGTATAATTTTTCAAGTGAAAATGTTGAAATAAAAGTATTTTTTGATATTCGTTTAACTTTATTTTACATGAAAATTGTTAATTAAAGGAAATTTTTTTTTTTACAATTAGGGATAGAATTTATTTTCATTGTAAAAAAAAAATAAAAAAATGTCCATGTGATAAGAAAACCAAGAAAACAAATTTCATGGAAAAAAATTACCATCAAACATGACGAAAGTGGGAAAGTAGAATTTATTTTCCATTTTCCATGGAAATCATGGCCTATCAAATATGGCCTAACATTCTGCCATTGAAATTGCGGATACTTGCATTCTACAATCTTATCCTTTCTGTAAAAGGTTTGGACTCTTGGACAAATTTACCAACCAAAATGAATTGTGAACATATTGTCCTTGTTTGAGTCTCATTCTTTTGAAAAAAATATATTTTTCAACAGTATTTTAACATCATTTCAACCACACATTTTTTAATAAAATAATATTACACGTAAATCTAAAATATTTCCTTATTTTTTAACTATGTATTTTCCATTAATACACTATTCAAAAATCCATTCTTTCCCCAAAATAAGGCTCAAACAAGGGCATTATCTAGCATTCTCCAAAGTATTATTGTCATATATGAATATTCAATAATAGCAAACAAAACTATCCACCTATTTCGTGTAAATCAAAAGTTGAAAAAAACAATGAAGCCCCTTTTTGTTTCCAATTTTTCTGTCCAATTTTAATCCATTTTTGGACCGTTGCTCTACTGTCAGCCATGATTTTTGACTTCTTCTCTCACACTGGGTCCCATTTGCTAGCAAAAAAGGGCAAAAAATGAATTATTTTTCTTCCAACAACTGGAAATAAACAGAGGCAAAATTTGTGATTAAAATTAATTATTAATTTTGACTTAAAATTTTTATAATTGGTATGTCACCAGGGTTATTGCTGGCTCATTGTTTTTATGTGTTTATAAATTGGATAGTATAAACAAATAATATTCTTCATATATGCTTTAGATTTTTTTAGCAAAAATATTTAATTCCTATCCTACATATATAAAAGAGCAGAGCACTGGCGGGACATGTGTTGCTCATATATTTCGTCTTGTACTTTTTTTTTTATTGTTTTCGACTGAAAACCATACTGCTTCTCCATCATTTTCGACTAAACCATTCCTCTGCTCTGATTGTGTAAGAAGACTAAACTATTCCTCCGCTCTTTTGTAATTGATTGTGTAAGAATATATAATTTCTCGTCTTGTGTCCCTTGATCCTCATTCATCGTTGTTAACAAACTACAATTTCCGTGGGCGATTTAGAAAGCTTTTGCCCAACAGCTCATTTTTTGCCGACAGTTGAAAATCACTGGAAATTGTAGAAAATTTCAATTTTTTCCTTCATGTATGTTTTTGAGTTGAAGATTTAGAATTTGAACGGGTTTTTAATTATTTACTTTTTCCTTCTTGCAGAATTTGACATGCATATTTCTGTTCAAAATTGCAGTTTGAATTGAAATTTCAATCTTTTGCTGCTTGATTGATTATCTGCAAAGGTGAGTTCATTATTTCAATTTTTTTAGGTTCTCTACCAATGAACTTAAAGATTTAAATTTACTGTTCTTTTACCAAGTAAAATTATTCTTGGTTCATTTTGTAGATGGTGGGGGATTTCTTGTTTAAATCAAGAAGTTAAGAAGTAAAAGTTATGCTGGCATGGAGTATTCCATCATTTGGGGTTTGGAATGTATGTATTTGAGTTTATGTTTCACTTTTTTGAAGGTGCTAAACAATTTATATGGGCAATGTTTTCGAGTAATTTATCTTAAATTTATTAGATTTACGAGGTGCTTAATTGATTTTGCTGAAAATTTATTAGTCTATTAGTATTGCTAATTTTCAGTTGTATACGCTCGATTGGTTGGTGAATGGAATTTTTTTTTTTTTTTGTGAATTGATGGAATTTTCGAAAATTTAATTTAGTTGGATTTGAATACTGCAAGAATTCAGATGGAGTGTAGAAAAGAGAAGAAAGAAAAAAAGAATAGACAAAAAATTGAGTTTCATTCCCCTAAAAACATCATCTTCATTTCTCAATCCCTTAAACATTATCCCCTCAAAACTGAGTTTCATTCCCCTCAAAACATCATCTTCATTATTATTATTATTTTGTTAATTTGGGAGTGTTTACCCTTATAATTTTCCTTTTCAATTCAATTTGAGTTCTTCTGGGTTTTACTTTACTTTTTTTTATGTTCTGTGCGATATTAAATTTCAATTCTATAACTGGTCTCTAATTGATTGATTAAGTGATAATTATTGCATTGTTCGAACTTATCACTAATGGCAAATTTGGACGAGATAATAGTAATTTTTGTTGAAAATTATAAAATTTAAAGCTCCATGCACGCGAGGAGCTCACGGAGCTTTAGTTTTTTTTTTTTTTAAAGAAATGTTTTTATTATTATTATTTTTACCTTTGTTAAAAGAAATGTTTTTATTCACGTCAAAACAATATTTTAAACTCATTTTCTTTCTTAATTAACACTATCTATTTATCTAATCTACTTACAAAAAATTAGTTTCATGCTTAGCTCTGTGCACGCATGGAGATTCAGAACTTTTGTTTTGTGCGTGCACGGAGCAACAAAAAAAATTTATGTTTTTTTTTTATATGCTCCGTCAAATAGAATTTTTTTTTATCTTTCTCACGCAAGCATTCTTACAGTAACAAAAAATCTACTTCCATCCTATTTTTCCATTTTCCTCTTCAAATCAAATTCTTTTAACACAATTTTTTTTTTAACTATTTCGTTTGGTTAAATAAAAACTATCTTTTGTAGAATTTAGTTGCTTAATTTGATGAGATGCCTAGTTGAATTAATAGTTTTTCTTTGATTTCATGTCCTACAAATTTGCCATTTTTAATTTTCTTAACATATTTTCTCGTGGATATAATAGACTAACGATGGGTGGGTCGTATCATATTATCAATTAGTTAGACAAATTAACTCTTTATTAAAGATTTATAGAATTTAGGTGAGAATATAATTTAACTTGGACACAGAGGGAAAAGCGAGATAGATTGATGATGAATGCTCATATTTTGTGAATATCGTTTTAACGTTGATGCAGTTGATATTAAAGGTCAAAACTCATATTTTGTGAATATATTTTTGATTGTCTATATTGCACTTAATTTTATTAGCTTTTTTGTAGGGAATTATAGCAACTTGAATGATTAAATTCAAGATTTTAGTCTTGTGAAACAAATAATTATTTTCCGACATTCTTAACAATTGAGATTGACTCTTTGTTCCTATTCTATCACAAGAATATCTATTTCAATATTTACATTACTGACTTTTGATATACAACGTAATTTGTTGTTCTATAAGTCATACTTTTAAATTATTTTTTGTCAACGTGATTTTCAAAGTTAATTAATTATTTCAGAGGGAAAAGCGAAGTGAATAAAATGTCTTTTTGCACCATACTCAAATTATTTGTAAGAGGTGAAAAGATTAAAAACCGAGCTATTGGCCTCTCAAGTAGTTTCTTGAGTTCAAAATTTCCTGAGCTATTGAAAAGTTCTTGAGTTCGAAATTTATCCTCTCAAATAGTTTCTTTAGTATAAAATTTCTAAGCAGTTTTTCAAATAGTTAAAAAGCACTTCTAAGTCTCTAAGTTAGCTTCATTTTTCTTGGGTCTCATGAAATGTGATGGTTCCTTTAGAAGTATTTATAAAATAATTGCTAATTTCTGATTTTCCATAAGTGAGAAAGAGAGAAAATTGCTTGTTATAGTCTATATCTTCTGGAGTTCATATTTCTAATTTAAGGAATTCATATTAATGAAGTTGTTGTAGAGAAAATTGCTTGTTACAGTCTATATCTTTTAATTTTTCATAACGGTTTACATTGTTGAGATTAATGGACAATTGGAATTGTGATTAATAGTTACTGTTGTGGAAAGTTGGGGAGGGCTTTGCAGTATTTGCGATTGGATGAAGAGAAAAGCTCTTTCGGACTTGCTATAAGCAAATATTGGATTTTTTTGTTTTAATTTCTTGTCAAGATATTAATGTGGGGTTGGAAAGATTGAATAAGATGAAGTTTGGGCACCATTTTCGTTTTTGTTCATGTCTCTAATTTCTCTCTTTTGTGGAGGATTTCCTTTTGTTAAGATTGTTATATGGTGATTGCTCAAAATCCAGTAGTCTTTAGTTGAGTCTATAATTTCAAGGGAGCATAATTAATTAAGTGAATTTGTTCGAGCGAGAAACCTTTTATGAGAATTTACTGCTTACAATTTCAGTTTAAAAATTAATTGTTGCATGTGTATGAGGGATCGACATTCAATGAAAAAAGAATTTGATTCATTAGAGCAGGATAAGTTAGAGCTAGAGAGCAAGTTGAAGGAAAAAAGTAAAATCATTCCTCAGTTGAATTCGAAGGTAGAGGAATTGAAGAATCAAAAATTGGAAAGCAAGCAAACTGCAGTGAAGTACTAGGAAAGAATCAAGTAATGAATGATGACGACGAGAAGTTGAACTGTAAAAAATTGGAGACTAAAGATGCTTTAGAAGTGTATAAGAACAGGTTTGAAGATCATAATGAAGTGAAGTATGAGGAAAAAATTAAGTCCTTAAGAGGTAGAGAAGTTGAAATGTGAAAAAATGCAGGCTGATACTGTAAAAGTGTATATAAGAAGTGTAGACTTTTACGGTTTGATCAGCTTGTAATTTTTCACATTTCAACTTCTTTTTCTCATCTTTCAAGAACTTAATTTTTTCCTCGTGTTTCACTGCATTAGGATCTTCAAACTTCTTCTTATACACTTCTACAGTGTGCTCGGCCTCCAATTTTTCATAGTTCAATTTTTCGACCTCATCATTCATTGACTCGATTCTTTCCTCGTACTTCACTGCAGTTTGCTCGCTTTCCAATTTTTGATTCTTCAATTCATCTACCTTCGAATTCAACGGAAGAATGATTTTACTCTTTTCCTTCAACTTGCCCTCTAGCTCTAACTTATCCTGCTCCAATGAATCAAATTCTTTTTTTCATTCAATGTCGATCCCTTGTACACATTCAACTATTAATTTTCAAACTGAAATTGTAAGCAGTAAATTCTCATAAAAGGTTTCTCACTCGAACAAATTCAATTCATTAATTATGTTCCCTCGAAATTATAGACTCAACTAAAACTTCTATAATTTGAGCAATTACCATAAAAACAATCTTTACAAAAGAAAATCCCCCACAACAGAGAGGAATTAGAAACATGAGCAAACACGAAAATGGTGCCAAAACTTCATCTTATCCAATTTTCCCAACGCCACATGAATATTTTTGACAAGTAATTAAAGCAGAAAAATCCAATATTTGCTTACAGCAAGTCCGAAATAACTTTTAGTTGTTGGAGCTCAGGATACTGTTCATACCTGTAATGTAATTTACCATGCAGTATAAAAGTTGGATCCTACTGTAAGTTGGAAATAGCTTTTAGTTGTTGCAATTTACTATCTCCATTTTTTTTAATTATTCATTTTTTTTAATTTTTTTTGCAAAATTTGCTGTCAATATAAAATTTTTGCTTCACTTTCTAATTCTTATGATTCCGATTGTTTCTATTTTGTCGTTGTTGTGGGTATATTGAACTTTTTTTGTAGAAGGACTGAGTAAGTGGGTGTTATTGGATTTAGAAGAGGAGTGAAGGAAAAATTGGTACTTTTAAGCACATATTGGGCAATTGGCAAATGATCCAAATGACAAAGGTCAACTTTTTCTTCCTTTTCTTCTCATACTATAGGAGTTGAAATATAAGCATATGTGTTTATTCAAATTATTCCACTTCATCACTGCACCAACACATTTGTTCTATGTATTCATTCGGCAATCACTACACTTATACTTTACGTTCACCCCCAACTAAACCATCTAACGTGCGCCCAACTAAACCAACTAACGTGCAATGCATGTTGGCACACTAGTAATAATAAAAGAGAAATTACAAACAAAAGAGGGGGACAAAGTCGAGAACTCTCGAAAGGAAATGCAACTGCTGATACTCTTAACTAAATCCAATAAATATTTCATTGACCAGATTGACATCAATAAAATGTAGACTCGACAAACAACAAAAATGTTTAAAGCCTCTAAGTAGATAGAAACTTGAAACTTATTATTAACACCCTCTATATCTACTTCTCATTATCATTGGAGGTTTCATATTTGTACTTTTTTCGGTAATGAGTTTGAAGTCACTATCCTTTTCGATTTGAAGTGTGTTAGGGTCCTCCACAAAATCATCTCCCAAGGAGCGGCGTCGAGGATTGTTGCAAGGGTTATATATTAGTTCTTGGTCCTCGGGAAATTCATTTTCACATCCAAGGAAATTAACCTCTTCTTCAAAGGAGGAACTACCCAGATAGTGCCTCACAAATCCATCAAAGCCACCCATAAAGCAAATATCTAGCTCAACAATGTTCCTTTCTTCGTCATTAGGGAGTTCCCAATTTTCAATGAAGGGGGAGGGATGAGCTTAGATACTTGAGCTCATATGAGTCCACATAAGGTGATGGAATATCAGGTACGAAAGGTCAGGTCGCCACATTAGGTTGGGGTTTAACAAAGGAGGTGTTCTTGACTGCTAAAATTTTGTGAAAGAAGAACTAGGATATATGACTTTCATTATGATCATCCTCTCTCCCCTCAGAAATGCAATGCAAGAGAGTGTCAGAAGAATTAACTGCTACAAAAGCTTTACATTAGGACGACCCATTCATCTTCTATCACCTATATCTCATCCATCAGGAGACAATTGCTCTGAACTTAAATCCAAGAGGAGTTTGATCGATTGCCTACACTTTTCCCCTTCTTTTTGCCATCCCATCTGATGAGTCTGAAGATCCAGGGGCTGCTGCGTGACTTTCTTGAGGTACTGACTTCTTAGCACTGCTTTAAGCATGTTCCCGAATGATATCTTCATGACATCAAGACCAGGGTCGAGTCATTCTTCAGTGCAGTATACCTAAATAACCAAACAAGAAACAAGAATTTGGGTTCTAGAATTGGATGCTATCGAACTAAGATAACCCTACAATTATCTCTTGCATTATGCAAAAAATTGCAGTGGGAACTATGCTGAATTGAGAAATAACCAAACTTGTTTTCATTTAGCATTCAATATCAACACACTCACAAAAACTTGTGCAATATTCAATGATCAAAAATATTTTTCCCATTCAAAAGCAATCCCAGAAATGGTAATCCATTTATTTACATTAACAAAATAATAGTTAAAAACTCAGAGAAACAGAACAAACATAGAATGCAGAAATTCACAAACAGTTCATTCTGCTCTGCTAGCAGCAAGCTGCTGCTTCTTCTTCTTCTTCTTCTTCTTCTTCTTCTTCTTCTTCTTCTTCTTCTTCTTCTTCTTCTTCTTCTTCTTCTTCTTCTTCTTCTTCTTCTTCTTCTTCTTCTTCTTCTTCTTCTTCTTCTTCTTCTTCTTCTTCTTCTTCTTCTTCTTCTTCTTCTTCTTCTTCTTCTTCTTCTTCTTCTTCTTCTTCTTCTTCTTCTTCTTCTTCTTCTTCTTCTTCTTCTTCTTCTTCTTCATCCTGCTGAGCCTATAACATGTGAATGCCTTCTCCAGCTGCCCCAACTGGTGCGTTAAATCGCTCAGCATTGAAGTCTGCATCTCGTTCCTCTCAAACAACTGTGTCATCAACCTCATCATTTTCTTATTGTCTTCCATCATACGCTCCAACAACTCGCAATTTCTCTTATTGTCATACCTTGTTCCAATCCTTGATCCCACTTTCTCTTTCCCTGGGCATTCCGCTTCTATCCAATTATCATTCTTCTCAATCAAACTCTCTTCAACTGAACAATTTCTAAATTCTGCAGAGTCCTCCAATTTTAATGTATCTTCAAATTTAACCGAATTATTTTCCACTAAATCCATCATTACATCTGAGCTATTGTCTTCCGGGGAGTTCATAATTTCTAGGTTTTGATCCACAGGCTCCTTGAACGCTTTATCCACATCAGTATTCTCACCATTGCTTACCAAATTAACCGAAGCAATAGTATCAATCCTTTCCTGCAAAGCTATAGCCCTTCGAATCACAGCCTTCCTGCAATCCCTAACCCTCGAATCAACACCAGGAACCGAATCCAACTTAAGAAGCAGAGCCATCAAACCTTCATTCATCCTCATCCTCTCCCTTTCATCCTTTCTGATCAACTCCACAACTTCACTCTTCAATAAAATTCCCTCAATTTCATCCACTTGGATTTTGATAGCTTTAATCCTCTTGACGCTCTTCCTCACCAAAAATCCCCTGAATGTCTTCTGAATCTTCAAAGCAGACCAGGGTTTGGACTCCGATCCAACGGATTGGACTGGACTCTGAGCAACTTGGCGTCGAATCTTTTGGTCAGACGATAATTTAGACTGGAATCGGCGGCTTCCGAAAAAAGGGCTATCCATTGAGGATACGATTTCCAATATTTTTCCGATTTCTGTTCAATTTGAAGCGATTATGGAAAAAGGAGGGAGGGAGAAAGATTTGAAAATTCCGGAAGTTTTAGGGATTTAAAGATTCTGGAAAGTCGTGAAGGCTTCCATGAATTGAAAACGTAGAATTGGAGATTGGTAGAATTCAATTGCAATTCGACACATAAATGCTACAGCACTCGCTAACTGTCTACCGTTTGTGTTACACTAGGATATTAAGAGGAGAATGAGCTTCTGAAGCAAAGAGTGGATATATCTATAATTTGCTTATAGTTAGGTTTAAAAGAAGAATTAAAAAAAAATAATCGATAATTTACATTTTTATCTAACTTTTATAAAAACAACGGTTTAGTTTAACATTATTGGTGAAAATAATGTCCTTAACGTTAGCTCTTATTTGTTCAGATTTTCCATCAAGTCAGTTCATTCATTCGAGATAAATTATTTTACATTTTGAAATCTCTTCGCATAAGCAAATTTTACAAACTGTGTTTTTGAGATTGGCATATTTTTGCAAGAAATACAAGATGTATTACACACATACAATGCGCTACAGCTTTGATTACACAATATTAATTCTGCTCGGAATCTGGATGCCTGCCTTGTTCAGAAGATGAGTTGAAGCATGCTTAGCCATTGATATAACTTCTTTCTGTCAACAGTAGTTCACACCTATGTTAGACAAGATTCAATGGGTGATTTAAAATGACGATCCAAAAGCAAGTGTGAAACCATACAACATACCTCATCCACGCTCAAGATTCGCTTCTCTCTCATAATCCAACGACCATTGCACATAACCGATGTTATATTTTCAGTTCGCATGGAATAAACGAGGCTAGAAATGCTGCAAAATAATCTATTGTTATTTTGTTACAATTATTTTGACAATAAATATATCAAAATGACTTATATTAAACAATAAGTATAATACTATCTAGAACCAGTGGCGTTAAACACCAGTCTAGGTGTAAGCATTTTATATATCCTATTAAATGGGTCATAATTTTTTGTATTTAATTGAACCTATAATTTCATGTCGTAAGTGCTGCCATCAAAACTGGTGTTAAACACTAAATAACATTAATCAAACCCAAACGTCAACACCCAGAAGAACCATAAAAAAATGGACCCAAAGACAACTGGAATTAATGAGTTGTTATATCAAGCGAGAACAGGTTCATCCTGATTGAACCTTACAACATCAAAAGCTATAAGCATGGTGATTTGTAACAAAAATAAATCGGCAACAGGGTAACTTGAAATAAGCGTCAATGTTTCAGTGAATGAAGAGCAGCTATACACTAACATATTCATTGTACTTCAACAGTCAGTATGTACCCAGGGGTGGTATCAGGACGAATGGTAAGAGAAAAACAAAGGTGTGACACTGTGAATAGTGAACTGATGTCTGAGAAGTGAGAACGAAGAGTGGGAATGTATTTGGGCAGGGTTATTTGTGAGGAGATTGAGATTGGTTTGAGCTGGGCAAGGAAGGGAAGGGAGGGGGTGAGACTCATAAGGATTTGGGTTTTTCATTTCTGAGCCAAAAAAGTTTTTTATCCTCATCTTTTTTGGAGGTGGAATCAACACTGTATGCTTTATGTACCCAATAAGCCAATGTTATCAATATAAAAGCAGTATCCGATATTCTTGAATTACAAGACATGGGGTGTATATATTTTATCTCAAATAATCCCTATATTATGTCATCCTACTGGATTTTGGATATAAACACTCGGGCTTTTTACTGACTGAAATATTTTAGAATTAACTGCCCAACCAGCATAGTCCCAGCCAAACCCCATTCAATACAATTAAAGTCAAAGAAGGTGAAACAGCTGCAAAAATAAGTGTCCATAAGAGTCATTTTCAACAAGATATAGTCACATGCTATCTGAAATTGGCCACCTTATTCTTGGGATTCGGATACAATGTAATAGACAATGTAACCATGGTATTTGAATTTCAGAGCATGTCTATATAGCGAGGATGAAGGGGGGAAATTTTACTTTTTCTAACAGAAAGAACTAAATTAACAGTGTAAACAACAATCTGATTTTGGAAGCGTTTGATAATGCCTTTTCAAAAGTGGAATCATACCAGTCATGAACAGGCATCATCGACCAGGAGGATGGATTGACCACAATAATATCAGCCTGCGGGACGTATACCAAAATGTGTCAATCAAAATATAGCCAAATGCCGACCAATTGGGTGGAGAATTTGATAAAAGTAGGTCTACCTTGCCACATTCAAGAATGAGTAACACCTAAAGCACAGAAAATATCTATTTGTCTAGATAGTAGATGTGGAAAAAAGGACTCACCTTTTTTCCAACCTCAAGTGACCCTATTTCTTTATCCCAAAGAATAGACTTTGCACCATTTATAGTCACCATTTTAAGAATAGTTTCAGCTCGAAGAGCAGTAGGGTCTGTGGTTCCTTTGGTGAAAACTTCTTGCCCTTTGTTGATAAGAGAAGCAAGGTACATTTCATCCACTGCAAAGTAGTACATAAAATACTCAGTTATGGATGAGCTATCGAGGATATGACATGACCCAATTTAGGAACTAACAAAATATTATCCATTGCCTCTGGCAAGTAATTATAATTCCTGGAGAAGTCATCAGCAATAATTACTTATCAAGATGTGGACAGTTCTTGAGAAATTCAGAATATTATATTAGTATATAAAAGGTGTAGTTTGCCAGACAATACACCTAAAAACTGATAGATGGAACTTGCAAATTGTCAATATTTCTTGTGCAGTGGTTCAAGTCTTAGGTGCATAGTTGCTAACTTTCTGAAATGTCCCCCAATTACAAGCTAATACAATGCTTAAGTTACTAGAAGGAAGAAAATTGTTTAAAGAAGCAGATACATGATTCAGCGGATGGACAGAAATAAGGGCACAAGAGGATTGAGGAATCTGAGTACCAATGCTCATCCTATTATTCGATGGTGCACCATCCGTTCCCAAGGAGACACAGACACCGGCATCAAGCATTTTTTTAACCGGTGCAAATCCGAACATACGCATTGCAGCAGCAGGACAATGAGATACTTTAACCCCAGCTTTTGCAAGTATACTGACCTGAAAATGGCTATGTAAATAGAATTAATATCACTATTACAATGCATATCACTGCTGGTTGAAGATGAAGCCTACTGGCAGAACTTGAAAGAGTAAAAATTATCTAACCAAACGTTCTTCCTCAGATATATTTATGGTCCATTTTGACACACTGTTGTGCGTAGAGCTTTAGCAGTAGAGCTTTTATTAATAAGCTGTTAACTAATTGGTTGTGAATCCAAAAAGTGCTGTGAAATTGACTATTTGATAGCATAACTATGAAAGTGCTTTTGCATAAACATTATATTTATTTGACTAAACCATAATTAATTACTATGTATCTCATAATTGTCTTCTATAATATCTATTTCATATCCTGTAGAATTTAAATTAATATTTTAATTAAATTTAATAACACAATTATTATAGTATATATCATATTACATAAAATTTATTAATTTAATTCACACATATTATGTGTAATTTTAACTATAACACACAAGCACGTATTTGTCACTATATAAATGTGGCTTAGAAGTTAGAAAGTTTTTTATAAATATGCTAATGTGTATTTTGTTATTTTTAAAGTTTCATTAAATATAAATTACAGTTTCCTGTAAAAACTCAATTAGAGCATTTTTAGAACAACTCAAAATTCGAGCTTATCTAAAACAGCTCTTTTAAGCTGTTTTTTGGGTCAAAATGTACTTTTTGACTTTAGTCAAACAAACAATATTTTAAACAGGAGAGCTTTTAACCTCCACAATTGGATAGGCCCTTCCACACATTCTTATTGAACTATTGAAGATTTCAGGTTATTCACAAATAAATAATATTAGTGACTACACAAGCGATGCTGAATGGTCAAACTAATGAAAGCAACAGCATGCAAACAGGTTGAGAGAAAGGAATGAGAACTTGCTTGTCAATGTAGTTAATCTTTTTTACTCTTTTTCTCTTCCTGCATTATTTTGGTTTCTGTCAGTGAATTGTGAATTGAAGCTTTACAAATTCCAACTGCATAAATATTACCTGCTTGAAGGAAATCGACATATTGGGAAAGTAGATTGCACTTCCCAAATTTTACCTTGTAAAATACCCTCAGCTACCCGGGACTTGATGACGGACTCATTTGAAATTTTTACACACACCTCGACAGAAAGGAAAATTCAGAAGAAACGTAGAGGAATAAAAGAGAATATTTTCTTCTTGTACCACGTGTCAATGACTCAATACAGAAGGGTAAACAAATGAGCTGACCAGGTTTGGCAGAGTGCACATGAAAATGGACAAAAAGAATACCTCCTCATCATTGACCCAGACGGTATGAGCTGCCAGGAAATTGCTCTGTAGTAGCTTGACTTTCTCGAGATATGTAACAGTCCCTTGAACTCCTCGTCTCTCCATCACATGTTGGTTCTCATAAGGTATTTCAGCAACATGCTAGAAGCCAAAACATTTATTAAACATGGACATGTAACTCTAATCAAAAGTCAGGTGCAAAGAATAAAAATGGTGCAACCGTGCAAGTTATTATAATTTACACCCAGTATCAATGATTCAATAACATATAAAATCCAAAACTAACTTACCAGATACATATATAAGAATTTCACAAGCTTGAAACAAGAAAAAGAATATGATCTGCATGCGAATTTAAAAAAATAAAAAAAAATAAAAATAAAGGCCCTTCTCTAACAAGTCATGGGATGATATAAGAGCTATTAATTTCAATTTCACTGATAGTTTGGAATCTTTCAACAAGCCTAAAAAATTCAGCATCGGTTTGAGTTCATATATGCTGCAAAAGTAGGACCAAAAAACCATATCTAACATAGATATGTAACAAAAAGTTTTCTGCTACTCAATAGGGCTTCATATAATATTTTTTTTCCTCTTCAATACATACACACTAACATAAATATCTTACCATATGGATTCCAGTTTTGAGTTCTTCTGCAGCATCTCTTGTTCCATTAAGTAGATCATCAGTTGAATTCATAATTTGCCTTATTCCAAACCATACTCTGATCCGTCCATCAGCAGTGTTATGGTGCTTCTTGTACAGTTCCTTCTGGGACTGTCCTTGAGAGGAGAACCAAGTAAATGTGCTATGCTTAAAACAAAACAAAGCAGGTACTCAAAAATGTTTGACAGATGTGACAT